GTGTAGTGACTGACCAAAAAGGGTATTTAGGGTAGAAATCCGGGAGATCCGGACAGAATAACTGAGGGTAAAAATGTTTGTCCATTTGGTTCACTGCTGTGTCTCTAGAACCTAACATAGTGTCTGGCACATAGGAGGTGCCAGTAAACATGTACTGAGTCGATGAATATAGAGTTCTGCAGAGGAGACTGGGCAGGGGAGGAGGCAAAGCTAAAAGCAAAATAAAAAATATAATTAATTCAAGTTCAGGCAGACAGTGAGGCAGGGAGGCTTGGTGGGTCAGATAGTGAGCTGAGACCACAGGCAGACCCGAGTGCAGCTCAGGCTTTGCTCCCTGTAGCTCCGTGACAACCGGGTGTCATTTAACCTCTGCAAGCCTGTTTCCTTATCTTTGCACGGGGACTCATTTAATAAGGTGACTGTGCACCTTAAATAAAATGACTTAGATGAACTACCAGGCACATAGTAGGCACTCCATTTTCTGTTCGCAAAGAAGGACATGTGGTACATGCGTACACACACATAATCTCAAACAAGCCTTGGGGGAGAGTGTTTTAAGTGTACTTCCACACCCACAGGGGGAACGAGGGTGGCGTATTGTGAGCTGTGAAAGTCTCGATAACATCTTGACTTTAAGGGCGACAAAAATGATGCAAAATGTTCTGGCCAAGTAGAGCCTTTGAAGTAAATTTGCAAGGCTACCCCAGCCCATTAATTTGAGTCCTAACCATAGTAATTTTACAGTCATTCAAGCAAATAAATGTTTCAAAATACCTTTTGGAGAACAGCCTGACGTGTAAATAATTTTTTAAATTGTCTATTGGAGGTATTGCTGCTGAGGCTTCAATGTTCAGCTTTGACTTCAAGGAGGACAGTTGTGTCAAACAGAAGAGGGGCGGCTGGACCCTTTTATCCTCGTGCCAGTGTCCATACAAAAGCCATGGTCACAAAATTAGCTCTGTCTAATTACCACCTCCGTCTCTGACTTCAGGCTCTTATTGAGTGTGGGGTGGAAGTGGGGAAGCGGCCAAGGACGGCTAATGGCTTCACATAAACCCTTCAATTACAGGGAACTGTGTGAAATTAGTCAGAACAATGCAAGTTTTGTTGGCGACCCCCTTACTCTTTGACAAAAATAAGCATGTACTTAATCCAGAGGTGATGTTCCGGCTCATGGCACCATTATAGCCGGTTTGGACTTTGTGGTTTTCTTCCCTCCCTCACTGAAGAGCAGCCATGAAATCTGAAAGGAACTCGCCCTTGATTGGCTTCCTGCATTTCGTGCCGGGGGCTCAGCCCACAATTCCCTGTAGTGACTCGCACAATTAAGATAGGTGATCTGACTTAAGCAAAATGACTTTCCTTCACATCTGAAGCAGAATCCTGAATATGCAATTTACTTGTACGGGAGCATTGCACATTCCCTTTCCTCCCAGTTTTGAGAAATAATTACATACATCACCATATAGGTTTAAGGCACAAACGTGAGGGTTTGATTGACTTACATTGTGACATGATTGTTGCAGTAAGTTCAATTAACACACATCAACTCACATAGGTACCAGCTAAAGAAGAGAAAGACGAGAAGGAAAAAAAACATTCTCCTCATGATGGGAACTTTTAGGGGAAATGTTTCTTTGCATTATTAGAAAACCAAAGGGATCTTTGAGATAATTAAGCCAATCATTTCACAGATGAATTTATTCAAGTACTTATTGAGCACGTACTGTGTGCCAGGCACTGTGCTAAACAAGGGAAGATACAGGGCACCCTTGAGATGTCCTCATGAAAGGGGGAGACCAAGGGGCAGCCCGAAGTCATGTGACCACTGGACTTGCACAAGAGACTTGAACCCCAGTGTAGTGCTATTTGCCACAATATGAAAAAGCTCATTGGGAAATAACTAATATTCAAAATGAACTTCTACAGGCTTGTTTAACTTACATAAAAGAAAAAGCCTTTTCAAGAAGCATGCACATAGGAAGCTTATTGAATCTGCTTTACTAGCACCATGCTAGATCTGGGGAAATATAGTCGTGTTCTCCTAGGACCAAAACAGTGAAAAGTCAGAATCCCGGCCGGTGGGATGGTGCTGCTGTGGAGCGTGTTCGGGTTGCCACGGCAGCCCAGAGGGGCGGGGTGCACGCTGTCTGACAGGGGTGACGAACTTCGAAGCACAAGCAGGCTTTAGCGAGGTTTGGGGCAAGTGGGACTTTCCAGGAATGGACAGCAGTTACTGTAATTAGTGTTACTAAAAAGAGGTTTGGCATTTTCTTAGCAGTTTCTGACAGCAGGTGCCCAGTGCCTGTGGAGATGTGTCCAGTTTCAACCACTGAGCTCCTCTGTCCCCCAAACTGAAACTACTTTGACCCACCACAGGTCTTAGTTCGAGAAACAGGGTAACAAAGCCAACATTTGAATGGATCTCTTATAATAAGTACAAGGTGCTTGAGTCACCGAGTGGTTCAAGCGGCTAAATTATTTTATCTGAATCATTTGATCCGATCACACACCAAAATGCAGTTTTGACTTCTTCCACAGGCAAACAATCCGTAAACATTGTGATTCCACTGGTGCCTACCTCAGCTGGGCAGCTTGTCCCACACCCTCAGTCCCACGTCCTCCTCTGGTGTCCTCCGGGGCTCAGCTAGGTCCTCCCAGTCCCTTGTCTAGGACACCTGAGGCTGGTCTGGTCATCGAATGGCAGGGCCAGGCACTGCCCCCCCAGGAGGGCCCCTCAGAACCTCCCCCCGTCCATGCTCAGGGCAAGAGGGTGGTTGTGCCAGCGTCAGGCCCCCACGTGCCCCCGCGCTGCTTCCAGCCACCTTCCGGTCTCCACGGCCTCACCTGTTTCCACGCGCAGTGCTTTCCTATCCTGGCCTCTGCCTGGAGCCCCAGGCAGCGGATGCGCCAGAGCAGCCACGCGGTTGGCGCTTCTGACCCCGCGTCTCTCAGACCTCGCTGCCCACCACGGTTCCTCGGAGTTATAGGACCGCAGACGCCTCCGGGCTGAAAAGTGAGGGTTCTCCCCGTCTGCACTCCACCTACCAGAACACATCATCGACTGTAGCATGAACTGTTGTTTTATGTAGCTCTAAAAAATCCTTCCATCGGCCTCACACAATGCTTTATCACTTACAAGTTTATACAAAAATTCTCTACGTGTTGAAAAAGATTTGACTTTCTTAGTCATGAGTTTTTATCATAGGTCACTCTTGGGAACACACAAGAAGGAAATAAAAGCAAAATCATTGATTTAGACATCCCTGAAACCTCTGCAGAGGGTCCAGCTCTTTGAATCACGTTTCCACTTGGGGTCATAGGTGTGTTTTTCCACCAATCATTGACCCTTGTGCCGTCAAGAGCCCTGGTGTTGCAACCTTCCTTCAGAGTTCTCTGGGGTTCTTCTAAGCTGTCCACATGCACCCCAAGTTTTCAGGCCTTGTGCGGCGAAGCATCCCCACCGGGTATAAATAGTAAGTCCCAAATGATTCCAAGATTTTTTAAATATGCCTCTCAGAAAAATGGGAACGAAAGGGTAAGTCAGAACTGACGTTTCTCAGCACATCACCACTGCTTTAGAAGTTACCAGAAAAACAGTCTAGCATCCTAAAGTGCCCCCTCAGCCCTTACACGGCACCACCCCGGGTCCAGCTCCAGATTTCTAGGATTTGGCTCTCCCTGGCCACCTGGCTCCTCCGAGTGCACTTCAGGTAGCAGGTGGCAGCTGCAAAGCCAGCCCCTCCAGCCCCTCCAGCCCCTCCCACACAGACCAGCGGCCTTAACACATGCTACTCTCAGAAAAACATCGGAATATTCCTCCCACTGCCCCATGTGGCTACTGCTTCTCATTCTTCAGTTTGACTACGCCTCAGAGAAGGCCCTTCTAAACCATCTCAACTGAAAGTAAGAACTGTCAAGGTGGGATCAGCACCAACCCTTCATTGCCGACACTGACATAAATAAAACAAGTAGACAGCCATCCTAGTGAAACAATTGTGTCTTCCTCTCTACAACAGGGGTTGGCAACCTATGGCCCACAGGCTGGTCACCTTCACTTAAAAAGTTGTCCTGAGCCCTGGCCTAGTAGCTCAGTTGGTTAGAGTATTGTCCCTATTTGCCGTGGCTGTGGGTTTAGTCCCTGGTCAGAGCACGTACAAGAAACAACTGATCAATGCAGATGAGTGGAATAAATCGATGTTTCTCTCTCTCTCTCTCCCCTCCGCCCAATCTTCTCTTTAATATAAGTAAAAAAAAAAATTTTAAGTTTTATTGGAAAACAGCCACACACATTTATTTATGTATTCTCCATTTCTATTTTCGACATGGAAGAACCAAACAGTTCCTATGAAAACCTAAACTATTTGCCTATGGCCCTCATCCCTAGATCCCCAATACCTCATACACATAGTTCAAAGACCCGAAGGGCCAAGAAGCCCACCTAGAAGCCCTTCTTTATTGAGAGGCTCTTTTTGTCACAGCAGGGGCAGACCAGGACTGGGTCAGCCTCCTTGTGATGTCCCCAGAATCTAAGGGATCCAAAAGATGAAAATACTGAAGGGGTTGAATCAGGACTCCAATGTGTCAGTTCAAGGTCAGTCCAAGGAGAACGAGTCATTTCCTCACCTGTTTTGCTCAGTTTCACAAGAGAAATTGTTGATTAAGGCACATTTTTTTAAAAGATTTTATTTCTTTATTTTTAGAGACAAAGGAAAAGAGGCAGAGAGAGAGAGAAACATCAATCGGTCACTCCCTGCATGTGCCCCGACTGAGAAGATTTAACCCGCAACCCAGGCACGTGCCCTGACTGGGAATCAAACCAGTGACCCAACTAACCAAGCCACACCAGTCAGGGCTGGTTAGGACCCTTTACCAACTTTCAGGGGTATACTGCTTTGGCCAACTCCCAGGCCAGGGTGCAACCACTTTCAGAAGGAAAAAGGGTCCTCTGCTTCTCTGTGCTCCACATCGATCATGGGCTGGGCAAGACCATGGAGAGCAACCACGTAGGAATGTGGTTCAGAAGCTCCTCCCCAGCAAGAGAATGGGATGATGACAACCTAGGCCCCACATATGCCATTTCCTGGTTAAACTAAATTTTAGGGGTCAGGGAGGCACCAACTTGTGTGCAGGCACAAATTTTGCATTCACATCCCTGGGGGCTGCCAGGATGCATGTGTGCAAAGGTACAGGGAGGAGGCAGGCTCTGGGAATTCGCCAGGGCCTCTGTGATGAGCTGCAGATTTCTGTCCCTGATGCCACGAGTTGCCAAGAGCCCTCTGCTCAGAACACATTGCACACACTTCTTTCTTTTTAATATGTTGCCACCTATCAGGCCCAGGCCTGATCCTCCCTCCTTTCTCCTCCCTCCCTCCTAAGTACAAAGGTCCTGATCTCAGAGCTGAGCTCTTAAGTGCCATGGACAGAACCAGATTCCAGCAGTCCTAAGTCCTTGAGGGCTTCCAGCAGCTGCTCCCTCGCAGTTCCAATAAAGGTATTCTCCAGGAAGGTAGGCAGGCCTCCCACACCATCCCGCAGGGTATACAGGGGCACCCGCACCAGGCCCAGCACCTGTGAAAGGAGAAAGACAGGAGACACTGGGCGCCCAGTAGTTGCTCATCCCAGCCAGCCTTTCTAAATCAGACTCCTCACCCCTTCTCAGTACAGCAGAACCAGGCCTGGAAACTCAGATCTCCATAAAGCCTATGGGGCCCAGCTCTCTGCAGACAAGTGACCCAAGTCATGCTATCCAGCTCCAAAAAGGCAAACCCTTCCCATACCACTAAACCTTTAGTGGCTGCTTCCTCCAGGATGCCTGCTTGGCCCTACTCAGTTCTCAAAATACCCAGCTCGGCCATTGAGAAACTTCTGAAAAATGCAAATTCTCAGGATATTCCCTCCCGTCGCACCACTGAACCAGGAATTCTGGGAGTGGGGCCAGTAAGCACTGTTTTAACAGGCTTCCCAAATGATTCTGATCACTGCCAAAATCTGAGAACCATCTCCACGCACCAGCAGTCCGCCTATTCCCGTAGCCTAAGCGCTAGGTTTCCCCACCAAGTATCAGGGCACATCTTTCATCAAAGAAAAACGGGGGCCTAGGGTGCAATGCCTGGCCATTATAAAGGGGAGAAGAGAGGCTTTGTAGAAAGCCACAGAAGCCAGAAAAGGGGGAAGAAGGGAGAGACTTTTGCAGGGAGCCAGTTTGGCGGGCTGTGGTCAGTCATCCTGATGAAAGACGCCCAACATCTCAACTAAAACCAGGAAGTTGATCGGGCGGAGAGGTTATGAGGGCGGTTTCCGGGATAGCCCCACCTCCAGCCCGTGGTCCTTGGCAAACGGCGCGCCCTTCTCCACTGCAGTCAGCTGCTCCAGCGTCAGACATTTAACATAGAAGTGAGCCACGACGCGCTGGCCGGACGCCGCATGGGAGCTGCGGTAGTTTGCACGCTCCACGCGGAAGGCGCCCGCTGCCTCGCCCAGCTCCTCTAACAGCTCGCGGTTCAGCCCATCCTCCAGGCTACCGTCCTGCTTGTCCATGAAACCTCCGGGGAAGCCCAAACGCCCGTCAAAGCGCATCTGCATCTGCAGGGGAGGGAAGCGGGGATTGCCTGGAGCGCCAGAGGCCAGCCCCCTGGGGAGGTGGTGGGCGGGACCTGGCCGGATGCGCCCCTCCTCACCAGGACCGCATAACGCAGTGGAATGCGGTGGAAGAGCAGCCCGGGGTCTGGCGCGTAGAGCAGCGCGTGGCACGCATGCCGCCAGTTAGGCCCCAGCGCCAGGGCCTCCTCCAGCTCCAGCCTGCGCACCCCGGCCATAGTCGTCCTCTCTCCCCTCAGCTGCTCCGCGGGCCCAAGGGGGCCATGGACCTCAACTGGGACCAATATGAGCCTGGGCGTGGCAGTCAGGACCAATCCCTGCACGGCTCAGGGGCGGGACCCAGGAGAGTTTGGGCGGTGACTGGCCCGGGCGGCGGCCAATCAGGGCGGGGCTTGGGCGAAGTCTGGGGCTGTAGGACGGACCCTAGGGATTCGGAAACCTTGGTCTGGATTGGGCCTCGGAGTAGGCGTCCGGAGCACGAAGGGTGGAGGGTAAATTATGCCTACTTCACAATCCAGCACCTGTAGAATTTCCCGAGTGCGGGTCTGGAGAGTGGGGCGCTCGTAAGGAGTTGTAGCCTGAGCTAATTAGGGACAAACCCTGGGAGCCAAGGGACACACACACACACAAAAAAACGTTGGTCTGGATGGTTCCGGAAGTACGGTGGCTGGGGTGAGAGTTGGAAATGAGCCTTGGCTGTGGCTTCAGAGAGGTGGCCTTTCCTAGGGCAGTGGGGATGGAGAGCGGCGCTAGGTGTAACGGCTATCCTGAGTGGTGGAATTGAGGACTCCGTGGCTGGTTCAATGTTGGAGAAGAATGATACTAGTATGAGGTCAAAGTTTCGGGTGTGGGTGGATGGAGGTGTCATTTTTTTGAGATGGAGTTTTGGGAAGGGCTAGTTAACAACTATAGTGCTGGTCAAGAATTGGGGGTGGCAAGAGGCAGTGCATAGGATAAATGGGATCGATCAAATTTTCCGAGGAAGAGTGAGGAAAGAGCTGTGGGTGAAGTCTTGTGGGTGAAATTCACAGGAAGGAAAGTGAGAACGGTTTAAAGGTAGAAGGGGTGACTAAGGCTTTCTACCCTTAACCCTCACATACTCTCAGATCACTGAGCTTTGAAGAAGATGGGGAACAGCCCCCTGTCAGGGCAGGGGGCTCCTCAGGGCCGGATGCTGAGGAGCCAGGATTAGGATCTCTCACCCCAGGCCAGGCCTTCCCCTCCTGTTCTGAGGCCTTGCAACTCTATGTGGATTGTCAATATTTATTACAAAGGAAAGGATGAGGGCTTGGGCTTAAAGTCACAATCTGTAAGTGACAACTCGGGGTGGTGAAGGGCCCAAGAATGGACCCAAACACAGGCCTGTGACCTTAGCATCATTTACCTCTGTCAGATCCCTAGTTGCTCCTCTGTTAAATGGAGGTGGTACCAACCTATGAGGAATATTGAAAGATTTAAAGCACTTAGAACTGTGCTTTCACCAAGTAGATGTGGCCGCCCTTGGTGTTGAGGATGGGCCGAGTGCTCTGTCTGATGTTAAAGACCTGTTGGCCGGCAGTCAGCCACAATCCTCAGGCCTCAGCATCCCAGGGAGAGGGAGGCACCCCTGGCATCATCTCTCCTAGTTTGTAGTCGTGTATAAGTTGGCAGAGATGGCGTGCACTGACATCAGGCCACTGGATCAAGCTGATGAGACTGTAGATGCCACTCAAGTCACTACTGCACCAGAGTTCTAATGGGCTTGGGAATGGCCATGGTTAAACATTAGAATCACCTTGCAAAAAGCTCACAAAAACTGCCAGTTGCAGGGGTCCACTCCAAACCAGCTGAATTAGAACCTCTGGTGGCTATGCTGAAGCTTAGGTGTTTTGTTCTTGTTTTTTATTTTTAGAGAGAGGGAGAGGAACATCAATGTGTCAGAGAGAAATCAATCAGTTGTCTCTTGCACACCCCCTACTGGGGGCCTGGCTCGCAGCCTAGGCATGTGCCCTGCCTGGGAATCAAATCGGCGACCTTTTGGTTTGCAGAGCTGGCACTCAATCCACTGAGCCACAGAAGCTTAGGTAGTTTTTCAATGTTTCAGGTGACTCATAAGCAACAAGGGCTGAGAATCAGTGCCTTAACTCTTACCCCTAACATTCCAAAAGTGGCTTGGTTTGTCTCCTAGTCACTAGGCTTCCTTGAAGGATTTAGGGTCAAATATTCCCATTCCAGTATATTTGGACTGTTGTATATGTTTTTCCTGGTTGCTTAGGGAGGCTTTCAAAGATGGTTCCACTGTTTCTAAGGCAACGTGAAAAACTCTGAAACCAAGGCAACAGTTATCCAAGAATCAATGACTCGAGACCAGAGCTCTTTCAGGATGAATGAACATGGAAGTCCTCGGTCTCCCTTCCTCCCTCTTCTCACCCCTACTTTGCCTCTCTTTCCAAACTGTTCCCTGCCTCTGCCAGGAGAGCCTCGCCTCATGCCTCCCCACTTCCCCATCCTGTCGAATGAAGCAGATTGCCCAGAATGAAAGCTGGGAGTGGACTGCTGAGTAGACTGCTGAGCTACGCCATGTGCCTTAAGAGCTATTCCGTGCTCACAATGGTACTCAAAACAAAAATAACTCAGCGGTCAGCCTCAGGGGATGCTAGGGAATAAATTCATCATTTTAAAAATAATGAATCAAGCATTGACCCTGTCTTTTTATTATAGGCTCTACCTGGGGGGCTACCAAAGAGTTTGCCAGGGGAAATTCTCTTTATGTAGAGCAGCGATTCTCAACCTTTTTCATCTCACGGCACACATAAACTAATTACTAAAGTTCTGCAGCACCCCCAAAAATATATTTCTGATCTGACAAAAAATGATATGATTTCAATTCATTCACACCAGATGGCCATTGCGTTGGCTGTTGTCATTGTTTTCTTTGACAACCCAAGGGAAAAGAGGTCAGTGCCCCCGACTAAATAGTCGGTACTGCATGCTTTAAGAATTCTTGTAGCAAACCAGTTGAAAATCAATGATACAGAATATTCCAGTTAACCAAAAGAAGAAAGGCAAAGCCATGAAAAATTACCATTTTTTAACTTTAAAGAATTAACAGATCCTAGGGATTTGATCATCGATGTCTGCTAACATCACTGATAGAAAAACAGATATTTTATATCTTCTGATGGAAGAACACATCACATCCTATTAAATGTCAATCTTAAAAAATTGAATTTGAATCTAGCTACCGTTTTATAACAAATACCAAAGAACATCTTTAAATATCAGGTAGAAGCTAGAATGACCCACATGATAGTGGATTGAATTGGAGATACCAGTATGAAATTGTGTTTAACTTAATTTAGGGACATAGAGTTGGTTACATATAAAACTGTTTATAGATATGTGTATATGCAAGACTTGGTGTACGTACATATTTCTTTGCTCTATCACCTGAGAGGGGACCCAGGGCAATGTTACCCCAGTAGCAGTAAGCACCCCTAGTGCCCAGACTTTGATTTCTAATACCATTTTCCAGTGAAAGGAGCTGGAGGAATTCCCCATTCCGTGGGGAAATGGCTGAGTCAAGCACTGGGGCAGGACATATACACGATGGATTCATGATGAGCCTGGAGCACCTTGTGATGCCTGAAAGGAAGTACACCCCCCAAATTATATTTGATAAAAAAAAACCATATTGAAGGGAGCATGTCAAAGGGACAGGGACACAGGAGCCAACCGAAGGAGCTCCCATGGCCAAAGCTGAAACCCTTTGAGCAACAAAATAAAGCAGCATTGGATCATAACCCAAGTCTAAAATATCTGCAGGTTCATACTGATGTAGACAATGAATATGTAAATGAATTGGTGAGAAATCTCCCGTGCAGAATTTGAAATAATGCACTCTGTCCTCAAGGAGGTGGAGCGCCCCTGCTCCTCCTCAAGAGTGGGCTGTGAATAGTGACTTCCTTCCAAAGAAAGGACAGTGTGGAAGGGGGTGTATGGGTTGGGAAAGGGGGTGAGGAGAATTTGCGACTTTGTGGAAAAATTTGACAAACATTATTACTTAAGCCAGGGGAGCAAGGTCAACATCAACAGGGATAAGTCATGTTGATAGTATGTACCCTTGCTGGTAGGATGTGATGATTATGATACTTAATGTCAGTGGTCTTCCTCCCAAAATGACACAACCCCCATCTACTCATGAGAAAAGCATTAAACACATCTCAGCAGAAGGGCAATCTACAAAACACCTGAGTCCATACCTCAAAGCTGTTAAGGTCATCAAACACAAGGGAAGTAGGAGAGACTGTGCTAACGAAGAGGACCCTAAGGATTCATGACTACCAGATGTAATACCATATCCAGGATGGGACCATGGATCAGAAAATTTAAATGAAGTATGGACTTCGGTTGACAGTGATTTATCAATATTGGTCCGTTATTGTGGCAAATATACCATACTAATGTCAATGTTAATAATGAGAGAAACTGGGTGGACTATATGAGAACTCTTCACTTTCTTCAAATTTTTCTGTAATTCTAGAACTTCTAAAGAATCAAGTTTGTTTATTTTGCTTATTTCAGGGGGATGCAATCAGCAAAATCTAGGCTGAGGGAAACTTTGTAAGACAAATGACCTGGTTGTAATTCAGGAGGTTGAGCCCAGGGATCTCAGTTGCTCATTCGAAGAAGCTGAATAAGCCACCAGAAGGACTGGATGAAGCAAAGCCTTTGTTACACTTATCATGGGGAGCAGCAAAGGCACAGATCAGTGAGGCAGGACCACACCTCCCTGAGTCTTAGACTTGTTTTAAGGGGTCCTGGACAAAGGGGGCATGTGTCTTGCACGTGACTCTAACCTACATTACCTCATTGTGTACATGAGAGGGGGGGGAAGAAAAGGTCAGGAAGCGGTCACACGGGACAAGAAGCCTTCCCAAAAGGAGATAAGGAGGGAATTACAATCCATTTCCAAAGCAATGCACATTCCTTGTGGCCAGGGCCCTCCGCGTGCCTTCGTCACGGGGGCTGGAGGAGCCCGGGGCAGCGTCACCCCGCCCTGGGTTCTTCAGGAAGTGAGTTACAGGGGGGAGAGTGGTGGAGGCAGATCTATACAGTAAAAGAGATTGAGGAGACATTATTTGAAATGATCGGACTTTATTTGGATCCTAATTTGAAAAAACAAAGAAAAACAGCGGTGGAAATGTGCAACTGACTGGATATTTGGTATATAGGAAATATTGATCATTTTTTAAGTGTGATAATGGTAATTTGGCTTTTAAAAAGATCATTTTAAAATAATAATA